AAAAAATTCTTTCATTATTTATTATCCTAATTTTTCTCTTGCATCATATGAACATATCTTATCTTTTATATTCTATGTTTAAACAACTGGTGTTAATCATCTCCCCCACTTTTATCAACTAAAATTAGAATAAAATTGCAAAAAATCATCAATATCTTCATCCATGTTCAGAAAATAAAAAAAAAAAATACACTCCAATTTATAAGCCTAGTAAAATTTCAAATAATCACCAATAAATTAATATTTTTTTCTTTATGATTTTATTTTAATGTGGTAAGGTTTTTTTGGTAATGTGCACAACAATGCATGAACCTATCTTGCATTTTAACAAAACGTTGAGGCCCACTGTCCGCTTTAAGCTTGTGAAAGCCCAGTCGCAGTGTCAGGTCCTGCTCTCCATGGACAATCTAGTGTAGGCCCTAACCTTTGTCGCTGAAATGGAAGGGTTTCGAAGACGGAAGGAAGCTTTCCTGGTGGTGGGGTTTTACAGTTCCTAAGCAGTAGTGACATTTTTTTTTTTTTTTTGGGTGCTAGAGATAGATAGATAGAAGAAGAGGGAGTGAGATTTAACAAACTCGAAAATGGGGAGAAGAATTTTGAACGATGCGTTGAGGACAATTGTAAATGCCGAGAAGAGAGGCTTCGCTTCAGCTCAGCTTCAGCCCATCTCCAGTTGCATGGCTTCCTTTCTTCAAATCATGAAATATCGAGGTTAGCTTCCTACAATTTACTTCTGATTTGCCTCGATTTTTTCCTGATTCTGTCCCAATTCAAAATTTTGATTTTTAGCTGCCCATCTTGATGTTGATTGTGATTTTAATTGGGCTTCTTTCATTTCTTTTTCTCTGGTTCGGGATTGGGGAAAAGGCGAGGATGACTCGAATTTGGAGAACTTATTAACCTTGTGTTTGAGCTGTGGTGAACGCGAAATTTTGGAGAATGCTTGATTTTATTTTACGCAGGAAAAATAAAAATCAGAACTTTGAAAGCTTGGTGGTAGTGAGGTAGTAATTCAGGATTAGTGGTTAAGAATGAATGAGTAAATGGGTTTGTAATCATCTTTTGCTATGTGCCTTCAGTTGGATGGTTTAGACGGGAACAGTAACCCTTTTGTTCGAAAAAATATAAGATCTTAAACTAGCAATAGGATTGAGAGGATGCATTAACTAATCGGAACTGAATGGATAGTGTTGTTGGATCTTTCTTAATAATGTATCGGTGCTGTGCTTTTCCCCAAGTAAAATCGTTGATTCGGATTGAGTTTGAATTATGTAATACATCATACGTTGACTGAGAAATGCGATGGAACATTTTGCATTTCAGCCTTTATGCAAGAGTTGTGGTATAAAATCTATTGAATTTATAGTTCATCTGCCACAAATGAGTGGTTGGTGATCTCTTCCTAAGTGCTGTTGACTCCTCCATTTCTTTTTCAGGCTATGTCAAGGATTTCCAAGTACATGATCCCCACAGAGTTGGTAAGATAACTGTTCAGCTGCACGGAAGGATTAATGATTGTCGTGCTCTCACTTATAGGCAAGACATCAATGCACACAACATTCAGAGTTATACCAAACGTCAACTTCCAACACATCAGGTGTGCCCAGGTTCCTTTTATGTTTAGCTGTTTGTTTATCATGCCTTTTACTTGTTTAGAGTCATCCATCTTGAAAACATGAGACCTTTTCTGGGCTTTGATTTTTTCAATTGTACATGGATGCTGAGTAAGTAAACTTAGTACTGATATCTTTGCTGGTCTTCATGTTAGAGAACTTCTATGGTAGTTGGTGTCCTACACGAGCACTTTATCTTTTGTGGTTCTCAAAGTCTGGAATAGTGGTCTATAGCCAATTGATGCCTTCTTGTTGAAGTTTGATGCTATTTACATGTTTCATTTATAGAACTATTTCAAGCTCCTAAAATATGGGCATCCTGGTGCAGCTGTGGATATCGCTTTGTTTTTCAGATCATGTTGGTGTAAATTTTTTAACTTCTGCTTTGGCTTTGAAGCTTTGATTGTTTGAGATGGTTTCATTGGAAGATAAACATGTGATGTTGGGTAAGACGTGACTGAATCCTCTCAGTATAAGAGGAAAGTTGATAACTGGACCTACCTGAATCTAGAAATTGACATGATTGGTGTGTTTGGATTAATGGGCGCCTTGAGGCTGCTGCTACCTTTGTAACGCAGCACAATACGGTAGTTTGCTACTTCTGGTGGTGATAATGGAATAACATTTATATATAACTATGTATCAGCTGCAATTTTATTTGACGCCAATTCTTTCTTGTGACGGTCAACTGTTCTTGTCTGTTTCCAAAAACTCTTAAAGAATAGACTAACCACTAGAGAATATGTTTTCCCTCTGTATTTGGAAAACTGAATCATAAATTTCTAGTTGTGAGGTAAATAAAATGTGAGGGATGCTTGTCATCTGGATGTAGAATTTGTCGTTATGTTCGATATTGGTATTACAGATTTCGGAATGATTACCAGTGAGATCTTTGGTCATGGTACAGAATTGGACTTGTTGAATGTTTTCTTGCCATGTTGGTCCTCATTCTCTTCATATTCCAAGTCCAAACTGTTGGCAGAAGTTGTTGATTTGATCTTTCTTTTCTTGATGCAGTGGGGCTATGTTGTGATTAGCACGCCAAATGGTGTTATGGATCATGAAGAGGCAATTCGACAGAATGTCGGTGGTCAAGTCCTTGGTTATTTTTACTGAATGGTCTGTTGAATGGAAGATTGGAGTTTAGGAGAGCAATTATATTTTCCAATATCATTCTCTCATCCTCTTTTTTTTTTTTTCTTTTTTTTTCGTTGGGGGTGGGGGTGGCGGAGGCGGTGGTGGTGGTTACTGGTTAGCTGTGGAAGCTAACGAAAACTCAACTTGAACTCAGCTCTTCCATGTATTAGTGCTATAACCAAACCTCTTAGTTTCCAACTGTAACTTTTAGGTGATGAGATTGGCCCAATTTTCTGCTTTTTGTCCTTGGAGTCCATGTGTATAGTAAATGTATTTTGATACATGAGAAGCATGGTGGGATTGATCTATGTTGGTCATATGTTCAGATATGCTGATGGTTCGTCTGTTCCCATGATCTGTTATTATTGGCTAAAAGAAAGCCAAATTCTGCAGATACCCTCCCTATATGTTACCTTGTCGACAAACTAGTTATGGGTGGCCGCGGGTTAGTTTTCGCTGCTGGTACGAGCTTTACTCTTATTGCTGTTCTTGTTTGACCACCGATCAGTGCTACGCGATAATTGAATAGGCTCCCCTATAACGAGTGACGCCGATTTGATCAGGGTTAGTCTTGTGCTCTAGCGTCCTTAAAGCTCTATGCTTTTCTCTTGGTAGTTGGTACCTTTGCTAGCCTGTGATAGTAGGTGAAAACTGAAAAGTAACCCGTTTTAGCAAGTCTTTTCTTTTTTCCTTGCATCTTTTAGATAAAAGCTGATTGAAGGAAGATGGTAACTATAATCCTACTTGAATTCTGGTGGTTCTTGGTTTGAAACTATTTAATCGGTTTGGCTAATGGGTACTAATTGGACACTCGATAAATAGGAGTTTAGATATTAGTTTTTTAGAAGAAGTGTGATGAATTTCAAGAAAGTGTTATGGTTCACGAAATGTCATAAATGTATTTATATGATAATTTAAGTACAATTTAGGTGTTTTTACGCGTGCTCATTGACATTGATACAAAAACTTGTATTTAATATCAACGCAACAAATGTTTAACTTACCAAGTTTTGTCAATTCCGTTCTGGACGTGGAAAAAGTAATTTGAATAAATTAAGCCAACCCCTACATGAGTTAACAAAGCTCAACAAGAGATAACTCCTTTCCCTGTGCCTTTATCTTCATGTGTACTTTTTTTTTTTTTTTTTTTTGGAAAAGAAGACTTTATAGCAAAACAAAACATCCTAACATCACAACTAGAAGATGGAAATGGGGCAGGAAAGGTTGTTGGATCCGAAAGGTTGATGGCCAAGATTTGGCTAAAAAAATATATAAGGTTCAGATTTCATTTTATACATCATTTTTCATAACATATGCGTGACTCACAAAATTTTGTTCTATAATCATACGTTGTACAAAATGACTTATATCATGTGCCAAATGCACAAAATCGGTCCGAACGATTTCTCCGTTGACTGTTCTGCCCTTGGTCCGACATAGAAGAAGGTGTCAGAAGACTGAAACGACGAAAAAGGGCAAGAATTAACAAAATTAATTTACCATGATGCCATGCTGGCACAGCATTACATATATGGGAGATAAGTATTATTTTTTTATTACTTCGGTCACCTACTTGAATTGGCATTTGTTTATGCCAACGCTCAAAAGCTACGCGTTTCAGTCAGCAATAGTTATACTAATCTGTTTTCAGATTCAAAGGAAACGCCAAACCTCATAATAAAAAGAGGGAAATGTGAGGATTTGAAAGTTGAGCGAAGCACCTTGCAATTATGGCCAAATAATCTAAAGAGTTTACTTACAAAAAAAAAAAAAAAAGGTTCAAAATCAAGATATTTTTATGAGAATTTCTAAAATAAAAAAAAATGAATCACCATTTTATTTATATCTATCGTATAAATCCTCTGCGGCTTAGAGTACGATTTTTTTAATTTAAATAAGAAATAGTTTTAATCAATCAGTAATAGTTTTCTATGTCGCTTAAGGTATATTATTTTCCAAATTTAAATAATAAGCAAACTATCTTGGTCGACAAATATATGATTTTAGGGGATTTTGATGTTTGCATGCATCGTTTAAACAAATTGCAGTGGCTTTTTCGCACATGAGCTCCGCTTTAAGAAATTTTCTCCAAATATTGGAAAGCATGCGTTGATAAAGGGTGCCCATACTAAAGTGGGCCGTCGTATGGAACATGAAAATCATATGCAACAGGCCAATTCCCCGCTCTACAGGCCCAGGAATTAATCCCGTTTTATTTAAAAAAGAAAAAAAAAGCCTCGACATAAACAGTCTGAAGTCTGAAAAAACGTGTAAACCTTTGCTCGCGAAGACGCCATTTTTTGCAGTGTTCCGCTCCCCATCTTGTTCATTTAACTAAATTTCTTCTACAAATCAAATTGCGGTTTTTAAGTCTTGAAGAATCCAACCCTTTTAGGCGAGACCAAAAAAAAATAGGCGCTGCTAATTCTTCGTTTTTCCTATTCATTCATATGTATACATGTTCACATACTTTTTAGCCGGCAGAGAAGGCAAAGAGGAGCTGGGACTTTCAATTACAGGTATATGATGAGCTTCTTCAGACTGAATTGCGAGTTGGGATTTTATCCCTTTTCCTTTTTATCAACTAATTAGTTCCTAATAAGCATGTTTTGTCAATTAGGGTCATCATTGGTGAAAATAATTGAATCTTGGGAACTGCTGTCCGATTTTCTAGTGGCTTTTAAGTTTGTATTCTGCCCGCGTAAGTCTTCAATTTGGAGATTAAATGCTCAACCTGGCGCCTGTGTTTTTCTCGTGTGACACCTTAGGAAAATTTATAATTTATTGTAGTATATATGTATTTCTTTTGAGTATTTTTCTGTTTTTGCTATTAATTTGTTATCTCAACTTGTGGTTGTTCCATAACAACAAAATATAAAAGGTCTTGTACTCGTTGCTTGACAATTCTTCAATGCATTTCTCAACAGTTGCGGGAATTTTCTAAATTTGCAAAGTTTTAGATGGAATGCATTTGAACTGGTTAATTTTGTTGATAACTTGTTCGGACTTGGACTGGATATGTCTGGGGGGAAGTTAATGCTAATTTTCATTAAAAAAAGAACTAGACCATTGATGATAAACAGTAATCATTTATTTATTATTGATTATAGTCGGAAAACGTGAGGGGCGTTAACAAAGTTTGTCTATTTATCATCTCATGAGATTCCAATGATATACATGTGTTTCTTTTTCCCTAAAGAACAGAGAAAAGGAACTTATGCTGTGATGATTATATAGTACTACCCTTATTGAAACTATTTTAGCAAGGTGACTGATCAAATTTTGTTGTAGACAGAAAGGTATTTCAAACGAGTAGGGTAAAGTTGTCATGCTGAATGTTGCTCCCAGCTGGTGGGGTTGGAATGAGTTCTGCAATGGATGATATGAACTTGATCCAGCAGGCTCAAAGACATCAACTTGTGGTCAGGGAGCTGGGAGAAGAGATTGATTTGGAAATAGGACCTGGGGAGGATGATCCTGCGTTTGACCATAATCCTCTTATGGGTGTTCAAGCACGAGAATCTTCGGCTGAAGAGCATGACAATAAGCAGATGGTGGCTTCTCAACCACCCACTGAGGATCAGGACATGACAAAGACACAGCAGGTGAAAAGGAAAAAGAAAGTTGTAAAGAGGTGGAGAGAGGAGTGGGCTGACACTTATAAGTGGGCTTATGTTGATTTGAAAGATGGGACAGCAAGAATATTCTGTTCTGTTTGCCGAGAATATGGTCGAAAGCATAGAAGGAATCCGTATGGCAATGAAGGCAGTAGAAATATGCAAATGAGTGCATTAGAGGAGCATAATAACAGCTTACTTCACAAAGAGGCTCTTCGCCTCCAGATGGCCTCCAAGGATAAGATTATTGTTGAAAAACCAATATATGTGAAAGGTTAGTTCTTATTTATACATTTCACATACTTGTATAATATAACTTATTTTTTCTTGTTATCTTTGGGTTAATTTTCCTCACCGAGCTTGGTATCCTTCTTTTTCATTTGCTGAATGAAGATAGAAGGAGATAATGTAATCCTGTTAGTTGTTTTTTTGACAGAACATTTCTATTTGAACCTTTTCAACATGCATGTTTACCTATGATATTATGCAGAGTCTAGAGTGGGAGCCATTTGTTTGATAGCCAATTTGTTGAAGCTTGATTCTGTTCCTTTATTAATAATGGAATCACTGACGTTTCTGATCAGCATAAACCATTGATGTGTAAGACAGGATTAGCTTGATTTCTAGTTTTATGATGCATGGCCTTTATTTTCTGGACTTATAGTTTGTGCCTTGATTTGAGGAGTTGAAAGTTTTGTTGATCTAGGTGTACATTAATATGTGGGAGCAAATATCCATGGGAACTTATTTCTTGTTAGATCTTGTGATTTATATTGTTTGGAGGAATCAATAACTGTGAGAAGTGCTGGTCTAGCCTTGGTTTGTTAGTCATATGTACTACATTATCCAGACCACCAATTTTTTCAAAGCTTTTGGTTATAATTTGATCAATGCATTTCTTCTGGTATAAGACAATTTTGTGACATTCTCTTTGCTCTGTAATTTTCTTTCTACTGGCTGTTCTGTGGTGGCTGAACTCTGTAAAAAGCTCTTATGTCGAAGACAGCTGGATCAATTGTTGAAGCTGCATTGAAAAGGGATCCTCATGAGCCTGAGTTCATACAGTCTGTTCAAGAGGTTGTTCATGCTTTGGAAAGAGTAATATCAAAAAACTCCAAGTAAGCTCAATTTGTCAGTTTGTGATTGCTGTAACAAACTTTACATCTATTATGAGTTTATAGCCACTCCTTACTAAGTGGTTTGGAAATGTTGAAGTTATGTCAACACTATGGAGCGGCTGTTAGAACCTGAGCGTACAATCATTTTTCGAGTTCCATGGATTGATGATAGGGGTGAGACGCATGTCAACCGTGGATTTCGAGTTCACTTTAACCAGACTCTGGGTCCATGTAGGGGTGGTCTCCGGTTTCATCCGTCTATGAACTTGGGCATTGCTAAGTTTCTTAGTTTTGAACAGGTACTTCTGCTTTGTCTTACCTAACATGGGATTGTTTGGAAGTTTTCTAATTCTCAGGATGTCAATGTTGGATTGGAGCTTTATCATTTTTTTGTTACTTGTGAAAATTGCTCGAAGAGAAAGATGAAACCATATATTTGTTGGAGCAAACTTACAGAAGTTATGGGATTCTTTCTTGTTTTGGAGTCTAATTGCCAAGATTTGACAATCCTAACTATTTTTTTTTACCCTCTGGCCATTTGATTTGCCGCCATTAGAAGTTTTTTACCCTTTTAAATATCTTTTGTTGAAACTTATGGCTTTGGTGTTATAAACTTGCTTCAACAAATGATTTTGTGTACTTACACCTAAAGTGGCTTCTTAGAAGCATATGTGTGAGTGCATTATACATTATGCTAACATTATGCAGCCAAAAACAATAATACTTGATAAACTACAGTTTGAGATTTATTATGCTATGATTTTGTTGGCAAAATGTTGGAGTTTTTGTTCATGATTATTTGCTGCAGTTTGAACTTATTTACACAATGGTGATTGCTTGCGTACTCTGTGTAGACTTTGAAGAATGCTCTGTCTCCATACCGACTTGGAGGCTCTTCTGGTGGAACTGATTTTGATCCGAGTGGGAAAACTGACAGTGAGGTATCCTTTTCATTTACTGTGTCGTTTATGATAAATTATTATCAAGTTTTGATCTCTTATGCATTCCTTTTTCTGAACTCAATCTTCCAGATCATGAGATTCTGTCAGAGTTTTATGAATGAGTTGTACCGCTATTTGGGTCCTGACAAGGTAACTTTAGTAATTATTCTTCTATATGAGTTTCCATTTGTTCATTTCCTTTTTCTGAGTCATTCATTCCATTTGATTTGTTTTCTTGTGATAGGATCTTCCTTCAGAGGAGATGGGTGTTGGTACCCGTGAAATGGGTTATCTTTATGGACAATATCGACGCCTGGCTGGTCACTCTCAGGTAAGGTTCTTTATCTGATGAGACTAATTGCTCTGCTGTTCTGCATTGCTAAAATTTATAGTAATGTGCATTCATATCATGATAAAAGAAAATTGGATTTTTCATCAGAATTGATTTCTTACAACACTTCGTTCTTTGTGACTTAATGGTGATTTGACACTCAGAAACAAAAATTTTGATTTGATGCAAAGAGTGGTAAATGGCATATCAGTTGATATGTTAGGGGAAGATGGCATTGAATATGTGAATATATCACTATCCCTTTTTCTTATTTGTTTGCCTTTCTGGGTCAGTACAAACTCGTTTCTTGCTCTTATTCTATTTATTTATTAAAGTTTCTGTCCTTAAAAGATGTGAATCTTTTCTTTTGGGAAAGGAAAGGTCTTGAACTTTCTTTCCTTAGGTCATTACTTTCCATTGATTTCAAATATTGCATAATTGCAAACATGGCGTAGAGGTGAGAGTTGCACTAGGTTTTGTAACCTTGTTTGGTGTTCTGCTTGGTATGAATGCAATTTGTTACTTGGTATAATAGCATGGACCTCTTAACTGAGTTGATTTTCAGAAGATTGTTCCTGGTTTCATGAGGAACATTAAATGGAGTTTTTTATTTCTCGTTTTCTGATGTCAATGAGGTTGATCATATGTTTTGCCTCATAATAGTTATGATGGTCGTTAACAGTTTGTTATTTTCCTTGTGCAGGGGAGTTTTACAGGGCCCAGGGTGAACTGGTCTGGATCTAGCCTGAGAACAGAGGCTACTGGCTATGGATTGGTGAGTAGTTTACCTTCACATTCTGTTTCTGTTGGCGGTTTTACATGGGAACTGAATGCAAATGCCTGTAGATCCAACTAGTTATTCTTTTATTTTGCAGGTTTTTTTTGCACAACTTATCCTGGCGGACATGAATAAAGAACTCAAAGGATTAAGGTTTGTTGCTTGACGTTTTTGAAGCGACTGATGCTAGCTGGCTGTATATATTTTAGTTATTGTTCAAAGTTTAAGAATTTTACTTTTACAGAGCAGTTCACTTTCTTTGGTTTTAATTGCACCTTATTTCTTACTTTTAACAATGTAAGTTATCACACTTATTGGTAATTAGGTTGGCCAGTGTTTCTCTTTTCTTCTAGGAATGTCGTTTTAAGTGTGTTTGTCATAGTCAGTTTCAGTCCCTTGTGATGCCACCACTCGTTAATTACAATTTTTTCCTTGTTAGACTTACTATTTGTTTTACTGTTATAAGTTTTAAGACTCTTGCTAGTATTATTCTCTTGCATATCTGTTTATCTGAATTTTTCTGAATCACCAAGATTTGGTGAGAAATAATGATGGTTTTAGCTCTGGAGGTGCTTCCAACTGGCATTGAGAGGCTCTAATTATTCTAATACAATGATGACAAATGTTTTTGCTTAATGCAGTATATCTTTGGAATATAGTAGAAAGAATCTTGTTTACAGGAAAAAGATCAATTAATATTATACCAATTTGAGAAATAACCAATGGATTGGTTGTTTTACCTGGGAAATATGCTTGTGGAATCCTTGAGTTTCTTGTTATTTCACATTAAAGTGCTTTTAAGGGGTAAATGTCCAAGTTGAAGACATTGCTACCAAAATTTTCTGTGGTTAAGATGATAATTTTGTTGTTTTTTGTTTGTCTTTTTCCTTCTTAAGTCCAGGTGTGTAGTTAGTGGTTCTGGGAAAATTGCAATGCATGTTCTGGAGAAGCTTATAGCTTATGGTGCTCTTCCAATCACGGTATCAGGTAAGTTTCACATGCTAGCTTTTCTTTTTTGTTCTCAGCTAATTCAACAGTTCTATTGAGCATCTCGTACAGAAGAATTTTTGTCTGCACTGTAGGAATTGTTTAGTGCATTCTACTTGCACTTTAGTGCTTTGCATGGATAAAAAAAGTTAGCTAAGACAACTCCTGGTGTCAGAATATTCATCTAATTCTAGATTTGTTTGCTGTTCAGTCAATATTTTCTTCCAGTAGCTTTCGATCTCAGGCCTTGAACCTTTTGATACCAGTCTTTATCTTTGCCATGTTCTTTGGGTAGTTGTCAGTAGTGTAAATTTCTAGCCTTGTTGAGTCTCCAGCTTGTCTTGGAATTTAATTGCATTTGAAGAAAATGTAATAGAAATATCCAATGTTCTAGAACTTAATATTTTTACCATGCTACTGAAAACACCCAAAAGGATAGAAAAGGTGGAAAGACCATGAAGCTTTCTACGATTTTCACCTGCATTGAAATAGGATACTTAGCTGTATCTTCATGGCCTTGCCACTCATTCAATGTTTCGGATGACTACATGTTCACACTTGCAGATTCATAATTTTGGCTCATCCTGAAATTTTTTATCATAATCATAGAAGTTGGTAGCACATAGCTGCAAAGTAAAGTTCAAATTCTCATGGGATTGAGGAATATTAAAAGAGATTTCAAGGGTTTTATATTCTTAGGGTTCACTGTGGGGGGGAATTTATCAAGGTAATATTTTGCACACAATATGTACAACTAGTTAAGCAACCATCTCATTCAATACCCAAAAAAAAAAAAAAAAAAAAAAAAAATCAATCTTCTGGCTATGAGCCAAATACTTTATGCATGTAGTGTTTTCTGTCAATGACTTGCATTCAGAGAAAGTCTGCTTTGTTGCTAACCATATATGGATATGCATTTATCATGTCAATCTTTCATTCTATGTAAGCATTTCATTGGCATCACTGCATTGCAATTTGTTCCTTACGTTGAGTAGATCCTGCATAGCTAAGAGTTTATTAAAACACTGTCCTTCTGCATAAAAATAATACAGATTCTAAGGGTTATTTGGTGGATGAAGATGGATTTGACTTCATGAAAATATCCTTTTTAAGAGATATTAAAGCACAGCACAGAAGTTTGAGGTTTGTATTCTTTATTAGGAATTTCTTGGACAAGTATTCAACATTCTTTCTGTATTCAACCCTTATGTAACATTTTGCAGAGACTACTCAAAAACTTATGCTCGCTCAAAATTCTATGACCAAGCAAAGCCTTGGAATGAAAGGTGTGATGTTGCATTTCCTTGTGCTTCCCAGAATGAACTGGATCAATCTGATGCCATTAACTTGGTAAATTCAGGCTGTCGTATAGTTATAGAAGGTAGCATAAATTCTCTCAACTACTTTGTACTACCTTTGTCCAAGTTTTATTTGACCGTGTTGTTTTGAATCTCAATTGTTGCTCTCACAGTCGTTATGAGTTGCTTATTAGTGTTGTTGACTACATTTTAAACATTTTTTAGGTTCAAACATGCCCTGCACTCCTGAGGCAGTTGATGTTCTCAGGAAAGCGAATGTCCTAGTTGCTCCTTCCATGGCTACTGGTGTTGGCGGGGTAGCATACCTGATTTTCCTCTTCTGAGCTTTGATTGACAGTTGTTTTGCCATCTTAGGAGTAGCCGGTTCACGAGATGAATTTTTTTATACCATGTCATTTTGCTTTCATTATAGACTGTCAGTTACCTGGTTTACCTCTTCTGAGCCATGCTTGATATGTGTTTTGCCATCTTATAAATAGCCTGTTCATGAGAGGAAATTTTTATAATACGTCATTCTACTTTCATCATGGGCCATCATTTTCTTGCATCAATGCTGATGCTACTGTTGCTTGGATTTTCAGGTTGTGGCGGGTGAACTGGAATTGAAAGAGTGTAACTTGAACTGGTCACCTGAAGAATTTGAGTCTAAACTGCAAGTAAGGATCTCCATGTTTATTCTCAACATGGATCTCTGTTGATAATGGGTAATTACAATATTTGTTGGTTTTTCCATGCTATGTGACCCCTTCTTTTTCTTATCTAATCAAATGCAACAACTTTGAAATGCTGTCTAACACCCTGACAAAGCAATTAATCATGGCATAATCTCCTGAATTTTAAAACAGCTGAGTTTGTTAGTCACGATTGTCTTGTTGAAGTACATGTTATAACATGACTGGTTAATATCTGAATTCAAGCTCTAAACCGAACATTCTCCTTTAGTGTGGTAAGTTGTTAATACCTTGGAATCCTTCAGTTTCTACTTCTCCACCAACAAAAGTAAGATGCAGGGAGTTCCAACATCAACTCCTGTTTTAGCACCAACTTATTTTTTGAGTTTTTACTCAAACTTATGAAATTGTGTAATCGAGTTACAATATGGAGCCAAACTTCAAACGTTCAATGATATTTGAGTAAAGGTGGTTTATAATTTAGGTATCTTTAGAGTAATATGCAAGCTACCGATGAAACCACTGTTCCTTTAACCTATACTGATCATGCCTTGCTTTGACTGGCCGACCATGAAATGAAGCAAATCTTGGGACACGCTTCTTGGATTCAGTTATCTACCCTGCTAGTCCTGTTATTCTTTCTGCTTCAAATGTGAGATGGTAATGCTGTATAGAATATATGAAATTCAATAAGATGCTTTCCTTAATCATTATCACTCATAAGATTCTCAACATCTCTCTCTCTCTATCTGCATGCTGATTAAGATTATTTTTGTCAAACTTCTTGATTACTTTTTCATGTTGTTGGTTGACTTGGGAAAAGAAGGTTTATCTTTTCTCTTTTATGAAGTTGCCTAAGATTAGTTTTTGTGATTTGAAACTCTTCATTGGTCTAAGATGATTCCGAATTTTCTTTCAAATGTAATGGCAGGAAGCGATGAAACAGACGTACCAAAGAGTCTTGAAAGCAGCATCTGACTTTGGTTATCAGAAAGAGAGTCCAGAGTAATGCTTAATCCCAAACAGTGGAATAATGTGTATATTTCTTTAGTCTGATGTATTTATGCCAATATGACAGTTGTATACTTCTGCCTGTGTACCTCTTTTTTTTCTCCTTTGGTTTGGGCAGTGGGGGAGGAGGGCAGGCATAGTGGACAGGAGACAGATGTGTTTCCCTATGTCACAGTACAGAGATGGTGATGGAATGTCTTGGGTCAAGGGACAACTTTTAGCATTCATTTGGAAGTTTGGGAGTGAACAAATGAAAAGAAAAAATGATGATGACCAGAAGAGCAGAGTGAAAATGGAGGCGCATTTCATTTTCGTTTGTATGGAACTTTAGCGAAGAAAAGTAGATAGTTTGCTTCTTTTTTCTTTGGAAATTGGAAAGGAAAAGTCTCAGTAATTTTGACATGAGTTGCTTCCATAATTGCTCTTATGGCTTTTCATCTGTGTTGCTGTGTTTTTCAGGACATTGGGGCATGGTGCGGTCATATCTGCTTTTCTAACAATTGCCAACAGCATGGCAGATCAAGGGTGTGTATAGAAGGATTAAGCAGCCTAATTGCATACTCTTTGAGATGGTTTCTTCCTTGGTTCTATCTCAAAATGAGCTTGAGATTTACATCGTTCAGCACGAATTAACAGGGAACTTTGTTGATGCTTCAGCAGTGTTACGTATCCTTTCAGATTTTTTAATGCCATATATGGTATTATGCTCAAAAGAGTGGAGATCTATTTGTAAAATAGATGTACGTGAAGGTAGTTTTAGGTTGGGGACGTGTAGTTTTAAGTAGGCGTGTGATTTAGTTAAAAAAGGGACAACGATTTTGGGGTTTTCTTGATGTTTATATGATTGTTTCGAACTTGTAAATTATGTGGTTATTAGTCCTGAATATTAGCCTGTAAATGAAATATGGTCAAGGACATGGACCAAGTTCTTGTTTCTACAAAACTGGTTAAGTTTGGTGCAAAATTTTCTGTATTTGATACAAGACATGATTGTTGTTAGGTCCCCTTATCTCTTTTTTGTTTATTATTATGATGATTATTTTTCCCCCATTCTTCTTATGCTTGATGAAGTTAATAGTCACTTGAATGCTGTATGATGGTGATGGGATGGTAATTCGCTCCTATTGTTGGGATAATTTTCTTTTCCACTTGTGGAGTCCCCTTTTCTGTTTTTTGTTTATTATGATTATTTTTTTTCTCCCTTCTTATGCTTGATGGCGTTGAAGTCGCTTGAGTGCAATGTAATGGGATGGGATAGTAATTCGCTTCAATTGTTGGGATGATTTCCTTTTCCAGAGAGCTAGAAAGATTAATTACTACCAAATAACTTGCAAAGGAGCTAGAAGGGCTAATTACTACCAAAAATGACAAAAAGAACAGAACCCGCATTTAGCTCAAAAGCTGTTGTCCTTTGATCTCGGTTCTCCATAGACGTTCGCATCTAAATTCAAATAAATTCTATTAGAAACCATACTTGAGTTACAGGAGATATGAAAAAAATATGCTTTGGATTGGTTTGATAGCTAGCTAATCCTATTCTATTCCCCCTCTGATAGAAGAATTCTAGAATCCTCGATGGAGTCCCTCTCAACAAGATTTCTATCATGCAAAACTAGAAGAAACCAACTGATCTCAATGTGAAGATTGATTCTGCAGCAGGTTATGCACTAAGCAAGCTGCAGAACCAATCCTTCCAGCTCCCATTGACAGGAAGTCTCCAAATCCCTTCATCCCCACTCTGCATCCCCTTCTTCTATGTACCCTTGAAGTAGGCATATTTTCTAGAGACCAACTTGCCTTTGGTGAGCGAGCCACCAGAAGGGATTTAATATCCCTCCTGGTGCCAACACAGATGTCTATGAGGCCAAGCAGATTTCAAGCACATCAATCTAAAGTCCAGACCCAGACAAGGAAAGTTAAACCAGGAAAACTTCAGACAAACAACACACAAAAAATCGCAATACACGACAAGTTTGAATGCCACATTGAGATTTTTAGCGCTAGCAGATTCCAATTAACACCACCGGGAACTTCAGCATGCAGTCCAGGCCACTCAACATCAACTCCGCAAACATGGACAGATACAAAAGACAACAGCAACAAGTGCAGAAGAACCACAATTATAGACCATCAGTTATGCACATGAATGAAAGTCTGACTAGCAAGGAACAAAGGCAGCTTCGTCAAAGCTACAAAAGAGCCCTGTCATATAAAGTTGCAGTTCCTCCAAAGAGATTATCATCAGCAGTAAACAGAAGTATATAGCGGACGATGCGCAAAGGTACCAAATTTACAAACCACTACTCATGAAAAGTCAACCACCATACTGAAATAACAGTTGCAGTGCTAGTTAAATCTACACACGGGAAATATGGCAGCAATTTCACAAATGCTCCACACATAACATTATCACTGACATGGCATAGCCTAATTAACAAATTTCCCCAACAAATTCTTATTAATTTCTTAACCATCCAGTAGTAGTTTTCTTTCACCCACGAGCCTTGAGCTCGGCGAGACGCCTGGAGAGATCGTCCTCATCGACCTTCTCGGTAGTCTTCGTCGGTATGGCGTGCGCAGCTGGCTGCGGCAGCCCAACGGAGACCTCAAGTCCATAATCATCCGCCACCTGTTGCATCAAGCTGTTGACTTCACCTTCGGGCGTCGACAACGACGTACTTCCGGCCATAGAATTCTCCATAAACTCTGCCTGGACTTCCATATTCACAAACTGCCTCTCGAATTGGTCCATGGTCTCCGACATCTTCTGGAGATTCCCGGTATTAAGACTCGACTCGAGAGATTTGACAATATTCCCCATAGATTTATTGATCGTGGTCATCTTGGCCTGGGTATCGAGGCGAGCGACCACGGCGTCAAGCCGAGAGGCCAGACGGAGGTAATTCATCTGCTCGCTGCGCTTGCGGATAGCGTTCTCAGCGTAGATTCTCGCGCCGTCCATGTTTCCTTTCTCGATGGCTTTCTTAACCTTCAATTTCTCAGATTTCTCGTCTTTTTCGCACTTTCTCGCCTGGCGCTGAAGGCTCTTCGCCGTGAATTTGAGCTCCATGATTTGATTCATCAATTTCTCGGTGTTCCCCATTAAAAAAATTTTTTTTTGGTAATAACTAAAGCCTAAAGGTCGAGATCTAGAAGAAAATGGTGAAGAAATTTGATTTAGTAATTGAGGAAACAGGATCGAGTTTTTCTATGTATTTATGAAGTTAGGGTTCCGAAGACCGATTAGGGAAGGAAAGGGCGGAGGACATTTCCTAGAAATTAAGAAAAATTGTCCACGCGCAAGTAGGGTTGTGATCTGCTGTGGTCGTCAGAAAATCAGATGAGCGGAGATTTGTCCAATCAGATTTCCTGATGCAACCTAGTGGGTTGGAGCCTGGACTGGAGGAGGAGTCGGCCCGTTGGGTTTTGCTGTGGTTGGACTCGCAGAAGCAGTGAAGTGGACTAACTTTCTTATTTGCTATGTCCACTGCGTGTTTTCTGGTGTAACCCGTGTTAGCTATTTTGAATTTGTTGCTCAAATTTCGGTTCAATCTCTCTCTCTCTCTCTCTTTATTTTTTTGGGTATAATTCCTGGTTTCCCACAGACACTGTGGACCCCGACTAGACTAATCCAACTTGTCTCTCCATTCACAAAATGTGAACTCCCAAACGTTGTTTAAGGGAGATCCAGCTCCTTGACACTTGAATTAATGGCCCATTAGTGGTCTAGTCTCCTTTTGGTCTTGTTCCTTCAATATTAAGGAAATTGAAATATTAGTTTATTTGTGAAGGAGAAATGGGGAATTTTTTGGACCAAGTCTTTGCAGTTTGTATGTGTGTGTACATATATATAAGATAATTATTATGTATATTTGAAATCTTTTTAGAGAGGGGAATACATTTACAACAGTTGTGAGCACTAAATTTCAAATATCACCAAAGGGAGAATTTTCAAGGAATCAACCATCAGCCTTTGGGCCACGATATGTGGGTCTGCTTAAAAAATTTATACGGATGCATTGCGCATCCATCTGGTCTCGTGGTGGTTTCTAAATTTTGGCTGATTTGGCAATCGCTATAAAGATTGACCATAAACTTTGATGGTGCTTCCAAATAAGTATATTTCTTGATAACTTTGATGGTGTTTCCAGACGAGTAGATTTCTTGATAAGAACAAATTCTTATTGGTTAGTATACTTAGGGTGCATTTTATAAAATTGAAATTTGAAATCTGAAATGTTAATTCATTAAATTATTGAATTGTTAAGTGTTAAATATGATGCATTTGAGTCTTTATATCATATTAAGTGATAGGTGAATAATTCAGCACTTATTTTTTAGAATAAGTTTGCCTAAGAAACTTAGTGACGCTTAATGAATTCGGATGTTCTAGTTTTGGTTATCAAATAGTCTAAATATATTAAGATTTGAATTTATTAAATTTAAGTGCTGAATTGAATTATAGCATCCGTACACCAAATTTATCATATCAATGCATAAATCACATTTATAGCATCCCTACACTTTTTAAAATTAATGACACTCCTATTGAAAAGTTAGCGCATGAGACCTCGATCAAGGAGCAAGTCAAACCCTTCTCGTTTATGCGTTTGTGTCCTTGTAACGCTTTCACCGTGGAGAGAATACGATGATTTGTCATTTTGTTTCTTCAAGATATAAGAAGGTGTAACCAACCTTAGAGCACCAAGAAAGAGCTCAATCATTTTCTCTAGAAAACCTAGAATTTGATCTTCCAAATTACGAGTGTTTCAATAAGGCCCTATAGAAATTTGTTTTTCCAGATCAATCCTCCAAATCGTATGATGCGTCATTTGAACACCCCCTATTATCATGGCTCTTTTCTATAGAAAATACCGCGTGAAACATGGCTTAAATGAATGAAAGAAAACCGAACCATAGACTTATTTGGTGCACATTCGCCTGTTATATACGATAGCAGAAGAAGACGTTAACTTGCTCACAGATTGGGATGGCTCTCTGGACCCTGCTAGAGCTAGCCTGCAAAACAAACGAGACCCGTGCACCGCTCATAGCGTTACAGAATTCAGAGATTTCAGAACATGGCACCAATGCCGACTCAAATTATTCCTTTCTCCCCTCTATGTCGATCAAACCACGAATTAAAATTCATTCCAGCAATGAAAGCATGGCCACTTCTGAGTTCTGATTCATGATATACTGATACCCCTGCGACTCCCATATTGCGTTTCATAGAATTTCAGGTTGAAAAAGATGTTGGAGGTCGAAACAAGTGAATTCAAACAATTCTGGATTTCCAGTTTCATCATGGAAATCTTTTTTTGCTTTGGCAGTTGTGCCTAAAAATGATTCCTTTCTGGCTAGCTTACCAAGCATGAAAATAATTTTCACAGCCCCCCTTCGTTCCATCTCCACGTGTCCCCGCTTCCTTCTTGCTGCTGCTGTGTCCATTACTAGTACACCTCTCCCTCATTTTCCGTTTCGCCAAGACATCTGTCTCTGTCTTTGCTCACCACCCTCTCTCTTTCTCTTTCACACACAGACACACACACAGAGGCACTGCTATTCGAGCAAGAGCAGAAATTGTGCAGGATAGCAAAATTTAACGATTGCAGCCTTATATCTTTGTTTCATTCAAAGGGACCCATTTGGTTATTTAGAAAGGAGAGTTTAATTTATTTTTTGTTAGCTTCTATGGGTTCCGAATAAATAGGCCTTCTTATCTGTTGTTGGTTGCTGTTTATAAGTTTTCTTGGTTTTATTTCCTTCGGGTTTTTAGAGGGGTTTGACTCTTGAGGCTGAGCTGATAGGTGAGGAGGTCTGAATCATGAAGGGCCATGCATTAGAAGAACAAACAGTTTTTGAGGAAGAACAGCCGGTTTTTGAGATAGGGGTTGTGGTACCGAAGAGGGACGAGAAGCAAGAAATTGATAATGAGAATTGTGTTGACGTTCTTGCTGCTGAATTCAGGAAGATGGGCTTAATTGTCGAGAGAGTTGTTGGCCTACAAAACGAAATTCTTAAGGTATGTTGAAGTCTTCGTCTTTTAACGCCTAGTTGTGCTTGAAGTTTTTGTTGCAATTTCCTTATTGGACCCTTTAGTGAATCAATTTTGTTGCATTAGTTTTCAAAATCCTTACAATCGATGGTTTATATTGAAGTGCGAGAACGACACGGCTGTTGAGGTGTTCATTCTCTTAATCAGCTACATTGCCGTCCCAGATTAGTTTAAAATTTTTTCAAATGTTACTTAAATGGGTGCCCTTCTAATGGCGTCTTGCGTATTAAACCAAAACTACAGTCCACAGCAATTATCAAGCATTAGATAACTGGTTTTCAATCTAAACACTTTCAGATGCATTATACTTTTTGGTCCATCCATTGTAGACATTGGTTTTTCATTCAAGCAGCAATATGGTGTAATTTTAATTTTCCCATCATCGCATAGTTACAGTTCTGTCCTTTTTAGTTGGCAGCACCTTTAGCAATTCTCGGGAAGGCCGCAGCTGAGTTGCAATTGAAGAAACGAACTTACATTGGTGATAATTGCTCAATTCTAGTTTACACCTCTGTCTCTCTGTGTCTGTCTGTCTGTATTTTTCGTTCTGGATTACGAGAAGAGTAAAGTAAACCTACTTAAATTGAGAACCTAACGTACATTTCAGGAGTAGATTTGCAGTTTGAATGGGATGAGATTGATGCTTTCAAAAGGCAACCAGATGGTTCCTTATTCAGTTGGCATGAGCGTCTCCTCTGCTATCATCACATGTTGTATGGGACTGTGAGTACTAAACCTTCTGTTTTTGCAGTATCCCCAAACGCTATTTGATTGCATTATCAAAATTTCCTATTCTTTTATAGGTATCGGAACTTGTCAAATTATGGTCATCCCATTCATAGTCCAGAGAACTTTCTCTGTCTTTCACTAGTTATGGGTCAAAAGTCCACATCTAATCTTTGAGTTCCTTATTTGAGTTATTCATTTTTGTTTCTCTGTTAATGACCTCTAGAGCTGTCACACAAGATAATACAGTTTTGGAAGTTCTTACATGCCCACAGTGAATGCACCAATAAGCCTGTTGGAGTTCCTTCTTACTCTCTGAAACATTTACCATATTCCAGTTTTCTTTAACATGGCAATTTTAAGAGAAAGTTCACTGTGACAGGTGAATGTGGACAACTCCATCATGTTGAAGTTTGATAACAAGGAAGTATACTGGGAGATGGGAGAATCTGTACTGAGGAAGCTTGAATTGGAAGGCATTGTCAAAGAAGTCTTCCCGCTGCATGGTAGGGTGTCTCTTATGCATCACAAACATATGTCTCTCCAGAGGTCATTCAAAATAGTATTTATGTTTCTCACAGATGATGTGATGCGGAAGCAGCTTCTGAAAATTTGGGCTCTGAACTGGTGGGACTTCACCAAGCAACCAATTGATGAGATATGTTCATACTATGGGATGAAGGTTGACTGGATATTGTTCTTATTCCAACTTTACTAGTAAATAAAAACCATGACAGCTGTATATTTTCTTTTTTTGGTCAATGTATTCTCAAAATAGCTCGCTGACACTATTCCATTTAATGGTTGGTAACTTGCATACTACAGATTGCCACCTATTTTGCTTTCCTTGGAATGTACACGCGCTGGCTTTTGTTTCCTGCTGCATTTGGACTTATTCTGCACTTGATTGATTTTGGGTAGGTTGATTAATTGTCGTCATGCATGATAGTGACTTTTCCTGGTTGTGATTTCTTGTTTCTTTGTTTTATTTTTCAGATCGTTGCAGTTATTTGTTCTCCCAGTCTTCTTTGTAAGCCTTGTAATGTGGGCTGTACTATTTTTCCAATTTTGGAAACGTAAAAACTCGGCCCTCTTGTCCAGGTATTCTTTCAAATCAGTTGCTTTCTATGCAAAACACCTAATCATTGTACTTTGTTTGATTTCTTATGTTGATCTGTTAATGTGGTAATTTACCATCTGGTTAATGTAGGTGGCAGGTAAATCAGGCACCTGGAGCAGGTCGTGAACATAAAGCTTTTGATTTGGAGTGGAGTTTGTTCCAATACCCTTCAGAGCTCATGAAAAAACAGGGCTCAGACAAAATTATAGAAAAAGAAGTATATCAAAGAGAGGAATGGTTACGAAGGTTCATGAGATATCGAAATGATTTTGTTGTTATATTGAGCATCATATGTCTTCAACTTCCTTTTGAGTTGGCTTATGCTCACCTTTATGAGGTTGTTACATCCGACCTGCTAAAGTAAGTAAATGTTCGCCCAACTTAGTTTCGCTTAATCACTTCTTCTCCATCCTCCTGCAATCCTGCTTTTATTTTAGACAGAAGGTATGATCCGTTAATGTCCTATACTATAGTATAGTTTTGACATTTGTTAGGGTAATTTTCAATGTATCCATTTGTTTATGCTCCTCAGAGTTTGCAAATCCCTGTATATTGATTTGTCGACAATGCAAGAGGTTGACAGTTGACTGATGTATGGACTTATTTGTCCGTTCCTTGAAACTAAGTAGTTTATGGATGATAGTAAGAATCTGTGTATTGTTATTTCACTGATGATCCTAGAAGTGTTTACCTTATTTTGGAGCAATTTTGTAAAAACAGGTACAGTTTTATGCTAGGTGGAAGCTGATCATGCTTAACTTAGATAAGATATCTGAGAAAGTAAACCAATCACTTATGATGCCCAGCTGCTTCATAAACTTCATCATTATCTATACTGCATACAAAGGGAGAGGTGGGGGATTGGGGTAAATACTTTTTGTCACTTTATAGACTTCCAACTTTGTCCTCGTGAAAATCACTTGTTACTTTACTACCTACACATGAGTGGCTGAGATAACTACCTGTAGCTATTTTTAACACATCTTGATAAAATAACTGCCTATAAGCATTGTAACTACCAAAATAACCATCATTTGATGGGAAAAAAGGTTAAAATGCCACAGCTTGCTTTAGTAACGAAAATTTTATGTCAAATTAATTCGCAGAAAATGCATTTCTGAATTGCACACACATTGCATGTGCCTTTAGCACTAGTCCCTTTTTAAGCTTCCAGATGTTTATTCATACATTTGTTTCTTTGATTAGTTGAAATTTTCTTTCCTGGTCATAACTTCGATAGTCCTCTTTTGAATAATTCTGAAGAAAGAACTTACAAACTGTACAAACACACCCATACTACAGTTCACTTGGCTAATATAGATGATAGCATCACCTATCAATCCATGAGGAGGCTGTCCATTTAGTGCACTTCTCATCCCATACTATTGGAAATATCTCTTTTTTGTTGTTGACAGTGATGAATGCTCCCAACCATTTCTGCATATGTTTGGCCAACAATTGAAGTGCATTTACTTTCAGTAGTTGACTCGTTAATTTCTTTTCCCAGTTCTTAGTTGCTAAGGAACAAGCATTGGTATTTCATATTTTGTGGAATCATCTTAAAAAGCTATGTTGATTAGAAGTCCTTCTGATGGGTCACCTATTCCAAATATAAATTTTTATATGATATTGAAAAACGCTCAATGCTTTATTTATGTCAAAACTTTTCTTTTCAGTTCATTGTTAGTTTAAGGAGCTGCCTGCATGGACCATCAAACCGGTGCTCCGTTACGCAGCTAATCATTCATGATTTACATCTTCTAAACAAGAACTTTAAGGAAAAGTAATTGCTTCTTGCACTTTTTCCCTCTTTCCAGGTTTGGTCTAACGGTGGTGTACCTCTTGGCCATTCAGTATTTCACCCGAATTGGTGGCAAGATGGCAGTGGATCTTGTTAATCGTGAAATCAGTAATAATATAGAATATAGAGCTGACAGCTTGGTCTACAAGGTAGTTCACTCAGATCTTTACAGCCTAACAAGTTAAGCAATATTGTGAAGAAAATAATGAAAAGTTTTGAAACTTTTGGCAGGTATTTGGCCTTTACTTTATGCAATCATATGTGGGACTTTTCTACCATACTCTACTGCATCGCAATATAATGACGCTTCGGCAAGTTTTGATTCAACGTCTTATCTTCTCTGAGGTTGGAGAATTCAATTCGTACTTTTCATTGTCTATTTGGTTTCTTCTTCTTAACCTTCTTTCCTGAGTATACTTGAAAATATGTTCCAGGTTCTGGAGAATCTGTTAGAAAATTCAATACCCTATTTGAAATATAGCTTTAAAAAGTATCGAGCTGTTCGGTAATGGCTCTTTCCTTCCTCATCATCAGCGATTCAAATCTCCATTTCTTATTTCTGACATAATTCTAATACATGACTTTCTCACAAAGAACTAAGAGAAAAGGCGAAAGAGGATCATTTGCAGGAAAGTTTCCCAGAGTGGAGAAGGAGTATCTTAAACCTGCTTATTCTGCAAGTATCAGTGAGGAACTTGAAGATGGATTATTTGATGGTAATGTCAATCTTTGGCTTCACTAAGTAGGATCCTTAAAATTCAGATCTATGATGCATGAAAATTAAAAGATATCTGATGTTCTCAAGGCTAACCAATTATTTTCTTCCCATCCCTTCAATTATTCTCAAGATATCTTCTTTGTCAGATGTGAAAAATGTTGTTATTTTTCTCTTCTAAACTTTGCAATCCTTTGGTCTTAGTAAGAAAACTAGACCGCTTGCTTAAATTTGCAACATTAATTTCTCATACTGAATACAACATGTTGTAACTTAATAATTTGGAAAAAGTAATTGTTTTCTTTTCCACTTCCCTCATCCTCTGGCTTTTCGCACACATTTTGAGTCAATTGGTGATGTAGATAAGACTTCAATTCTTAGTTTTAGTTCAGTTTAGATATTTTCTGAAGTTTCTTGATTTCTCTTTCCTTCGGCTAATCATGAGTACAATTTAAACTGTTGGCAGATTTTCTGGAATTGGCGTTGCAGTTTGGAATGATTATGATGTTTGCCTGTGCATTCCCCCTTGCATTCACTTTTGCTACATTGGTAAATATATCTTTTGTTGGTCTTCCAAAGGGAATCTGGAATTTTCCTTAATTCGCATTTTACTTACAAGAAGTATGGCTGCCATATGTAGAACAATATAACAGAAATAAGAACAGATGCACTTAAGTTGCTGGTAATGTTGAGAAGACCCATTCCTCGTTGTGATGCAACTATTGGAGCTTGGCTCAATATATTTCAGGTATTGGATTGAATTTCTTTTCCTTTCTTTGCTCTTTGCTCCTTCCATCTTTCTTTTCCTTGTCAAGGAGTGCATTGTTCATAATGCATATGTACTAAAAGTTCTGTATGCTAATATGGGGACTATTCTGTTTCAGTTTCTAATAGTGATGTCCATATGTACCAACTGTGTACTACTAGTATGCCTATATGATCGGGAAGGGAAATGGAATATATCCCCTGGACTTGCTGCTATTCTTCTCATGGAACATGCTCTTTTGCTGATTAAATTCTTATTCTCCCATATTGTTCCTGAGGTAAAATCAACTCTTCTTGTCCATCTATAGTTACAAGGAGCGTAGACGTCTGATATACTTGCATCCCTGCACCTCTTGCAGGAGCCTGCTTGGGTCAGAGCCAATCGCATGAAGAATGCCACTCACGCACAAGACATGTGCTCTAGGGAGCTTTTGAGGACTATATCTGGTGGTCAGAAAACGTTTAAAGAACTGGTTAAGAATGAGTAACAAAGAAACTCGGCAATGTTGCGGTGTGTTTTCTCTTCCCAACTTGATTACAGAGGGTACCCGCTTAAGGCGAAACAAAAGTACTGCTATGCTTGTTAATGTTAACTAGGCTTGGTGCCCCGCAGGTTCTGCGGGGTGTCCATTATTGAATATATTAGGGTAATGAAAGATTTATTTAATAGCATAGATTTATTGTATTTTGTATGATAATGGAGCTGGAATAGTGGATAGAGCATTGATATATTGGATTGATTTATTTATAAATAAATATAGTAAAATTTATTTGATTTGTATTGTGTTTTTTAAAATTAATATGATCTAGGGATTTGATGGATAATATTGAAAAAATTTTGTTTTTGTATTTTAATTGTGGGGTGAGTAAATATTATTTAAATTAATGGAATATATATTAATTTTTTAAAGTTTATAGCATGGAAAATTAGGTGAAGAATTACATTGACAGTGTTATAATTTATTTTGTTTTGGGCATTGGCAGTTTATGTATTTTAGACGATGATTTTTTTATAATTTGGATAGCTAGGATGAGAAAGTGTGTATTGTTGTAGTGGAAAAGTCTATGGAAAGTATATAAAAGAATTGGAAATTTGCTGAGAAATAAATGCATAATAGATATTTTTTGGCAAATTTTGATATAGTTTGGGTGTTGTATGATGACATAAATTAATAATTTGGAAATAATTTGATATTGCACGTTGGTAAAATATGTGTTTATTAATTAAGTATGTTTTTTTGGATAAGTAAAGATAATGTTTATTTAGTTATGAATGAATGTGATCGAAATAGATAGAAGTTGTATTTTTTTAATTAATAGAATCTGAATAAATAAAGGATAATATTAATTTTGAGAGCTGAGAGATTTGATATATTAATAGTTTATTGATAAATGGATATTATTGAAAGTAAGTTGATGTGTATAAATTTTTGTACAAGAAATAAAAATTATTGGACATGAAAATTATAGAGTTTAATCAGTGCAATTTGTGGTAGAATTTTTTAATATTTATTGTTTGATGTTTATATGAGTTATTTTATGTTACTTAAAGTTAGAGTGAATTTTGTATTAATATATAGTTATAGGTATATGATATATTTTGTAATATGTATGTATGTATGTATGTATGTATATATGTGTGTGTGTGTGTGTGTGTGTTTAGTATTTTATTTTAGGTGATAGAATAGTTTAAATTTTTGTAGTGTTTATATTTTTTGTGGTTTTGTTTGTTTATTATATATTTATTTATTTGTTTATGTGTGTGTACATATATATATATGTAATGTAAGATTTATTTAATAATTGATATTTAGAGTGTTTTGTATGATAATAGGGGTCGGAATCATAGACAGGGATGTGGCAGATTAGATTAATATATTTATAAATAGATATAGTAATAGTGATGTGATTTGTATTTTAGTTTTTAAAATGAATAGGATGGAAACATTAGTTAAAATAATGAAATGTAAATTATTTTTTTAAAATTTAAGATAAATTAATAATTTGTTATATTTTGGATGTGTTTATTTTTATATTGTTAGATATAACTGGGTGGAAAATATAGAGAATTTAAGGGACATATAGTTGGTATGCGTAATAAGGTACATGGGAGATGCTTAATTATGATTGTTGGAAAAAGTCTCTTCAGAAGAGTTCGAAATCATAGTTGTTTTTGTTGAGCAGGGTGAAGAGGATGACACTTCCTTCATACAAGAAGTGTTTTTGTGGGAACTCTAGCCAACCTTCTGTTTTTTCTATTCCTTCAACCTGAAAGATCCATCGAGTTTTAGCACGATAGCAGTTGATGATTCCTATGTCATTTACTTCCATAATATTTCGATAGCAGAAAAAATATTTACTTCCATAATAATTTATTGATCAATAAATATTACAGAAGTAACATTTATGAAATAGGGGGAAATGATCCTATAATTTTTGAAGCAATTATCTAATTAATCATCATTTTGTAGAGAATAAAAGTGATGTCCTAAAGAAATTTGATAAAAGTAATATTTTTGGAGCACAGGGAAATTATCTTACATTTTTCAGAATAAATGTGTCATTAATCAGCAAAAAGCAAAAAGGGAAAATCTGCATTCACTAATAAATGAACGTGTAATTAATTATTATTTTGTATTTTTTATATTTATTTTATGTCACTTGGTCTTAAAATGCAAAAGCTTTAGACTAATAATTCTATAACTTGCAGTTTTGTGTAATTTAAAATTAACAAATATTGTACACAGGGAAATTATCTTGCATTTTTCAGAATAAATGTGTGATTAATCAACAAAAAGCAAAAAGGGAAAATTTGTATTCGCCAATAAATGAACATGTAATTAATTATTATTTTGTATTTGTTATATTTATTTTATGTCACTTAGTCTTAAAATGTGAAAGCTTTAGACTAATAATTCTATAACTTATAATTTTATGCAATTTAAAATTAACAAATATTGTAAAAATAGTATTTTTTTTATATCAAAAGCAGTACAATTGATTTATATTCAGTAGATCGACAAGGAATTGATTTTGTTATAGAAGCAAGGTTTTTAAAAAGTAGAGGGAAATTATGCTAGCGCAGAGTAACACAATTGATTTGCATTCATCAGATGGGCGTAGAATTTCCTTGAACGTACGCATGCTGCAGCAAATCAATATTTTTTGTTGGGATATTGGCGGCTGAAGACAGGAGATGCAGGAGCAGTGCAAGGTACAAATAACAAAAGGACAAAATTGAAGCCTAAATTACAAATAAACCAAGACAAAAGGGTAGAATCGGAATAGGTGACAAAAGCTAGAAGGAGGAAAGAAGCAACAGCAGGCAAAGCTGCTCTGTGCAACGTTTAGATGCAATGGTGAAAAGACAAAAAAGGACGAAATCAGCAACAGAATTGCATTGAAACCAAGACAATTGACTGTAGCAGCACCTTCGGCGCTTTATGTAGTTTAGGATAGTTTAGGATTTAGGATACTTGTAGTGTTAATGTTTGTGGTATCTAGAAAGCCTTGAATGACTGCAATCACTGCATTCTTTGGCGATTGAGAATTTGACAGTATTTGTGCCTTCCTTGTTTAAAGATCATTGCAGTACAAGGAGAAATCATAGAACTGTCTTTTCACCTATTATTTTTTCCAAGTTCAGATTTGGCCAATTCGGGAATGTATGGCGTTTGTTGGCAGGTAATATGGCTTGGAAGAAACAAGTTGCCTCTAATTACTCTCAGCTGGAAACTTGATCAAATGGGCATATTTTATCTTGTCCTTGTGATGTCATATACAATTCAACCGGACGGAAAACGCTTTGTCATTGCGTGGGATCGTATTGTGCAAAATCAATGTTGCATCTCTTAATCAACAATCATGTTTAAACAAGTGAAGGAAACTGAAAACAACTATGAGATTTATTAAAGATATGTAGTCTACGAATTGAAATAAGTTTAGTTTTTCTGTACCCTTTCTGTTCCCCCAACCCTCCCTGGAACAGGCAGTTGCTTATTCGTTTGTCAGATATTTACTTTTATCATGATTCTGCCGAAAAGGCGTAACCTGAACACGTTCAACTTTTCATTCATCACCAGCTTCCGAAGCATCGATCCAACTTCCGACACCTTTAAAGAAAGGAATAGATTTGTCATCCTTGCAAATTTATGAAAGTAAGAGCAGGATTAACGGCGAGAGCTTCCAAAGCGATCACTGAACTGGCGGGCATAAGCAGCAACCCTTTTAGCCCATTTCTTGATATCTTCTTTGAATTTCTTGGAATCCAATTGTTTCAACGATTTCACCCCAGGATCAATGGAAATCTCTACGAAGGAGAAGCAGCGATCATAGCGTCCATGCTTTGCAGCATTTTGACTGTTCTTGATCACGCCTTCTTCGACCTTACCAGCAGCAACAGCTTCTTTAGGGGGAGTAGCTGCTCCTCCAATAGAATCCTCTTCCATTCCTGCTACTGGGAATGGAATGGTTCAAGTACGTCTCTTTTCTCAAAGCATGTTTTTACTGTCTGTTTATATAGACTGCTGCCAGCGGCATCAAAATCTAAGGCTGTATGCTATTGTTGGGTGATGCCTGATCTGGTGCGTGTGGCAACGAATTAACTTGCAAGACTTTTCAGCAAATAGACGTAGTCTTTGTTAACTCGGTTTCCAGCCTGTTGATATCAGTTAATTCTACTCCACGTTTTAAAGAATAGTATAATTCGTTTTTTTAGTTTTTTTCTTTTTTGTCGAAACCCCATACACAGGGAAGTACAACACCCTTGATTTATTATCAACAAAAAATAAATAAACCATGAAGGGGAATCACACCTGACCTCCAATACACATAAAAATCGTTTCTTTGATTTTGAACGCATAGACTAATAATACTATATTCATTTACCATATTATTTGTGCAATGCCGGTATTGAAAAGTGATCGATTTTGAATTCAGTTCTTGCTTTTCCTTTTAAACTTACGAATTAGTAAATCTAAAAGCGAGGGATGAAAAGAAGTTAATGACTATAAATTTTAAAATTTTCTTTTTTTTTTGAGTAAAGCGGAAAAACAGAACTGGGAAACAATTATCTAGAGTAACCTTTACGGCTTTACCTTCGGGTTTTATTGTCGAGAATTGATAGATAACCAGTCTATCTTCTCATCTATATATATATATATATATTACCAGAGAGAGCGTTGGTTAGAGTTACGTTTATGCTAATTATAAAATGTCAACGCGATTCTCTTGAGTCTTGAATTGAACATCGCGCGCTGCAAAATGTAATCTACGCTAATGACTAAACAAATCCGCTGGGACTTTTTGACTCAGGCATCTCATGATGAAACCAATGAAGTACAAGATTGTTTCTGTTTCTAGGCACTTGTATTTCAGAATTTTCTTGGTCGGAGTAGCATGTATTATGGAAGGAAATTTCGGACACAACATACAAATCCTGTTTTGCAAGTCAAGAACCGTGGATTAGGTACATGTTGTGATCTCCATTTTTAATGTCACGCCAAGAAATATAACCTTAAATGGCGGTTCACAATGGCAACTTTTTTGTCAAGACTTTTTCTTCTTACCAAGTCAGTCTCTCATCAATTTTACTTCTTAGCAGTAGCCTTTAGAATTGTAATACCTCTGAAACTTCTTGCTTTCCATGAATACCCTTGATGAAAATTGTTGAGAATTGTGTTAAAATAGTTGGAGTCCGAACTTTTCTTGAATTTATCAGAATACCAAGACAAAAAATCGTACAACAAACCACAACATTACACAATTCATTGCAGCACCTGTGATTTCTAGCTCTAAGTTGCCAAAACGACAACGCTAAGGTTGAAGCCTCGTTTTTTGCCCATATCAATATCAACTATGAAAAAAATTTCACGATTTAATCTCAACTCACTATTGCAAAGTACTTATCCTCGTCTCTCTTCCAGTCGCAAGAATATATATCATCAATTCCCTAGAAAAGGTCGTCGTTTTAAGTGGTGATTGATGAAACTGGTACAGAAACAAATATCTGCTCCATAAACTACGCAACCAACATGGGTTCATAACTATTTTCATCCATAGCTCAAGAAGAAAAATATAGAAAGGTCGGAAACAAAAATTTTAGAGACTCTAGAACCCAAAAAGTAGCCAAGTATTAAAACCAAAATCCAAAATGAAAAACGAGCAAAACACAGCTCTTCACTGCTACACTTTGAAAATGACATTTCTATGCCTTATGCTTGTCTATTCCTCTTCTTAACGCCAGACCTGGCAACCTTGAGGCTCCTGTGAACAACACTCAACCTTGCAATAGCAGCCTTCTTCAGATCAGGCCTGTAATAGTTATCTGCCACCTATGTTGAGTGACAAATGCATCAACAAACTTGACAAAAAAAGTCGCAACAAATCAAATACAAAGACATTTTGTAGCCAGTTTATCTCCAAGTTTTCAGACTAGGGCTCCAACATCCTAATTTAACTGAAGAATAGGACAAGTACATAGAAGATCCATTATCATGATGCACAAATGCTTCTTCAAAGATTGAATCAAAGAATTGGTAGATCAATTGGTTGAAGTCATGATTTGGTGGTAGAACAACACGAAGTGTCACATTGAGTACTATAGCCTGTTTTATCCATTTCAGTCAGGAGACATAGTCCAGCCAGATTATGTCCCCGAAGACACTAAAGGAAATCTATTTACAACTAGAAATATAACAAACCAAAGACAGAATCATTAAAATTTCACCGAAATAGTATAAAAAAGTTGTTTATTTTGAAAAGCAAAATAACACATTCACAACACAATCTAATACCATTGCCAAGAAAGGTTAACGTGTTGACAGCAAATATGAGCAAGCAGAAATCTCAGGCTACGGAAAGAAGGCAAGACCATATCGCCCATTCGAATTGATCCTTTTGGAATCAGAAAACAACAGTCCAAATCCCAAAAGTAAGAAATGCAGATAAAAGTGTGCAAAATATGAATTGAAGCTATAGGCAGAGTACTCATATTTATATCAATCAGCTACCCATGCTAATAAAACTTGGCTTTCTATTTGTGCATTACCTGGTTTGTCACAGCCTTGGCCATTCTACGGAACTCCTTCTTCATGACAGACTTGTTATACAAAGCTGCGGGCTTGTTCTGTTTCTTGGTCTTTGTTGTAGCAAGCAACACAGACTGATCTTTGCCCCCTGGTTGAATGGTCACTGTCTTCTTGTTTGCCAATCCTGGAAACAATAAAAAAAACCCATAAAAATCACTTATAACGCACTCTAGCAATCGCAGTACTGCGACACAAACCAACCAAAGAAAACAAACACAGGCTGAAGCAAACTACAGATAAAACACATAACACTGAACTACACTAACAAGCCATATGTAAGGGCCAAAGAAATTAATAAAGCATTTGCTTTAAAAATCCAAAAGATGCACGTTCATGTAACATGACTTCTCTGTATTCCTAACTATTCTTGAAAATCCAAATAAATGCAAAAATAAATAAAAGGCCTTAAAATTTTTTTTCTTGTTTATACTTGCCTTACAAACACTACATATGTAAGAATACATGTCAACTACTCTATATTTTCCCCATTTCCAAGGCAAACCAACTAGAACCCAGATCTAAAAACGTTCAATTCTACCAAACAGAACATAAAAGCACAATTATATAACAAAGGGGAAAAAAGAAATCAGATCAACGAGATGAACCAGAATGCTTGTAAGAGTGGAGGTTGCAAAGATTGTTGGGCTCCTTGGTAAACTTGACGCTAGCGGTGCCGTTGCCAAACTCCTTAACCAAAAAGGAGTTGTTCTTCTTCACGATCTCCCATATCAGCTGCCCCGGTACTGTCGCCATTTCCTCACCCTAAACTTAACACAATTCACCCAATTCACCCAAAAACAAATAAATAAAATCGAATTATCAGGAATCGAATTAGTAGATTTAAGGACAGAGGCGATACATGAAGGAGATTTAATTTACCGGAAAACAGGGAAAACGAGGCTGTAGAGTTTTCTAGGGTTTTGCTGCGACGGCTTCAAGGTGAAGAGTTGGAAGTTCAGGGGTGACAGTGTTAAATTTGCTTATATAGTGGGTTTAAAACCCTAGCGGGCCAGCTGATCGAGGCAGCTGAATAACATAATGCTGCTTGACGAAATTGCCCATGCCATTTGCTATTTATTAATGGTTAAATCCTTTTATCTTTTTTCTAGGGTGACAATTTCCGATACGATCTTAAAACACAACACGAATTTAACACGAAATTAATGGATGTGAGTTGAGATTTTGCAGGTTTGAATCAGAATTAGGTCGAACCGGATGAACCCAAAAAGAAAACGGGTTGAATTCGGATCAACTTGTAGGGGTGATCCGATATGACCTGATAACCCGTTTACGAATTAAAAATAATTTAATAAATATAAAAATTATTTTATCTAACTAAACTAAGTTATTCTTTTTTCCAAAGGCATTAATCACTTAATCCTAAATGAATTTATTTAACTTGTGTGAAGTTGAAATTATCATATTTGGATAATTATTTTTTATTTTGATACTGTTTTAATTTATTTTATATTTGGTTTGAGATAAAACACTTTTACAATGTTTTAATTTATTTTAGATTTGGTTTGAGATTATTTATTTAAATATTTATTACTTGATTATCTAATTTGTCTTGTGCGAAATTGATTTTAATAGAAATTACAGTGATTAATTAATAAATTAAAATTAAGTTTCGAGTCGACTTGACAACCCGAAATTT